GCACCCTGATGAACCCTGCAGTTTGTCAGAAACACAGATTTTCGCAAGTCATGATTACAAAGCATAGAGGGAAGACCAAGCTGAAGAGCCCCTGATCCTGAGGCTTTCAAAGGGTAGGTGGCACAAGGTTGATACTGAGTGAAGACCTTCAGAGCACTACGCTATAAAACAGCTTCTACAAGATGCTTGTGCAATCTCATCTACAGTATCCAGTAATTATCTACTGCATCTGATGGAAGGGGCATGAAAATCACTGACTGAAAAATCACTCTTTTCCAAGGCCAGAGACATTATCCAGGGATGCAAGGAAGTCTCTCAAGACTGTGTTTCCCAGGATTTCCAGGCGGGACTCCTAAGGCTCTCAGCCAGCAATGAATAAAGGTGTTCCTTGTTCTTCTGGTCTAAGGAAAGCTAGCCTGACAGGCAACAAGATGGTGCACTACCATTTACAGTGAAGGACAGAAAGAAGAGCAGCAGGCAATGCAAACAAAACCCCACATAGAGACTATTGAGTGTTGAAAAAATATCAGCCTTTTGTGCCGGACTAAGTGCAAGGTCAATGCATTGACTAAATATTCACCACTTGCCCCCCCTCTCCCATAAGGAAGTATTTGGGTGGAGATCTGTGAACTTAGGACTTGTATCACAAGTGATTAAACAACACTTAGCTCCTTAGCTGAAGGAGCTTAGCCTTTGGCCAGGACATTCAGACCAATACTACCAGTCCTAGAGAAGTGGGATTTTGAATGTCTACAGTTATAATAACTGTATGACCAGAGCAGAAAGGATATGTATGCAGGGCCAGGTGCGTTCTTCCTGTGCTTGGTATAGTCTGTCCAGATGAGTTAGGCAGTGAAATCCTTCCTCAGCCACACAAGGTTGTGCCTCCAGGTTTGAAGGAGGATAGTGGTAATTCTGAGATAATATAACATGGAGTTACACATGCTCCAGGAATCTGCCTTGCTCTTGGAGGAACTGGGGGAATACATTCCCATCAGGACTGCATGCAGGCCCTCATGATATGATCTGGTGAGTTAACAAACAGATGGGAGTTATTTCACACCCATTTCTCTCCACTCACAGCAGGAAATGTGAAAGATCAGGTAGGGCTATGAGTGTATTCTGATCTGATTTACACTTCTCTTGCTATTCTACTGAGTTAAACATAAAACATTTAGGGTGAGTCTAGAGGCAGACACACTTCTGTCTGCTGTTTGAGCTCACTGAAGAAAACGAGTCCATTATTCCTGGGTTTAAGTGCATGTATAGATCCCAAGTCATAAACTCTGTCCTGCATAAACTTTCCACTAACAAGAGAAAAGAAAAAGATGTTTACAAATGAAAAGGACTGTTGTTTTGTCCTCAGAAGGTCCTTTAGTGCTGGCAGAAAGACTATGACTGTGCAACAGCAGGAGGAAATCTGCAAGGATATTGTCCTTCAGGCGTCACTGAACCTCCTCTCAGCAAGGACACTACAAGCCCTGAGATCAGACACCATGTTGAGTTAGACAAGTTTTCCTTGCATTGTGATAAATGAGGCGATCTATGCATTTAATTTCCTGCTTCAGCCTTGAAATTTCCTGTGGTGACACTCCATTCACGTGTCATTTTGATGTAATGTTGGAACTTGCACCAATCAAGCTATCTTTTATACCTTGAGAACAGGCTTTACTTTCCAAAATTAAGTTGTTGACACAAGAGTTTTGATCAGTTTCTAGAAAACAATGATCAGATCCTGTTTTTACAGAGTTCACATGGAAGATTAAAAACTGGTTTTATTGGGTAGCACAAAAGATGGTAACAAATGCAGTATATACACAATTAGACAATATAAAACACTTTGAAAGGTTTTTCATTTTAACAGTTACAAAACTGTTACATAGCCTCAGAAGCTTTTCCTTAAAGAGCAGGCAAACAATCTCATCTTGCAGCTGCAGTTAGATTTTCCTATTTGGATTTATGGCTAACAAGAGACATACATGAGTGCTCTGCAGTGCTGTTCTGGTTCTGATACTACAGAACTACTAAGCACTTGTTACTCCCTTTTAGTGCCATGCACATCTGGCACTTCTGAAAACTGAAACTGTGAGGCAAGACTGATCACTGCCTGGTAACAGAGGAGATGGTAGAGTTAAACATGCAATTTTGGAAGGCCTATCAGACAGAGTCAGTGACAGATGGTTACAGAAAACTCAAGTTTCAAGTAATAAATAGCATTTTCGTGTAGACATTAAATTATAAAAAATACAAGGGTAGCCCAAAACTTCTATGTTTTGTTGGAAATAAATTCAAGCCTGGAAATATTAAATTCTCTTCTCTGCTGCAATTGTTTCAACATGCTCATTACTTAATGTAAGAAGTTTATACCAAAGCACCAAAGAAGAAGAAAAAAAATCTTGTTACATATTCAAAACTTGTTTCTGAACAGACAGTGCACCGTTTTTGGTCAGCTCTGCATCCCATGCATATTTGCCACTGCCAGAAAAATATGTGAAGAAGTACTGTGCCTTCCACACTTTGGATGATATTTCATGTAAAAGTGCTAAAAGAGGGACCTCGTGACAGATTTTCAAAGCAGTTGGACTTGACCTTAAGAAACTGGATTTTATTTGCATCTACAACATGTTAAGCTCTTCCCTTGCAGATAAAATTTCTTTTTTTGTGGCTTCAGTAAGCAATACAATAATGTATGAAATTTTACCTTGAAACTTTAAAGAAAACAGCACTCTCACTTTGCTTTTTAACAAGTCAAAAAAGTAAGCATGAGAAATACAGACCACTTCAAAGAGGCAGCTGCAAGCCTCATGTCTGTCACTGCAAAGAAACAGAAATCCTGGGCCAGTAGAACTCCCAGCCTAAAATCTTCTAAAAGATTTCTAATTTGTCCTAGAGGAAGTCACTTGCCATAGAGACAGGCTTCAGTACAGAAAGAGCAAGTGAACCTCCATTCTCTGTTCTGCACCTTTGCAAAAGCCAAAACATTCCACCAGGACTCATCAGCTCTGCACCACTTGCCCTATATATGCCATTAGTGACCTAACTTGTGTGAGGTATAATATATGTTTCTCTGCTAAATAAAGCAGGGCAGTGGTTTTTGATCGTGTATTTTTCAAGATTTGCACACCTATATATTCTCTACTACATCCCTACATAGCAAAATCAATGCTCTATACAAGCTACACTTCATTTTATTTCAAACACCTGTAACTAGTGCATGGTCCCTGGTTTCATAAGGACCGCTATACTCTGATTGCCAGTGTGGTAAAATTTGAAAGCAGAAGGCTACTCAGATAGAACATCCTAACAGGCTTCTCTCAAGCTCCTGTATATTCCCCTGCTTCAGATGCACTGAAATCTCTCAAGAACCTATAGTTGAAAATTTCTAAAAGTAATATTTTCTGTAGTTCCACTTCATACTGGCAAAACAACACGTCCTAAGTGCTAGATTTTATTTAACTGTGTATTCTGATTCTTCACACAGGGACAGTTGTAACAACTTTGAAATACAGTTTTACTATCTCCATCCAAGTAGAACTTCCCACTAACTTTTCTGAAACTGAGAAAGTTATCAATCAAGTAGGCTCCAATGGCCATTTTCTGTTCTGCACAAGCCTTTATGGGCAAGGAATTGGCAGATTAGCATGTGACAAGCAGTCCTTATTCAAACTTCAGTGAGGCAAGAGTATTTAATCTGAATTCTGCAAGAAAATGAATCTTTTAAGCCTAACTTTCAGCATGAGCATATGAACAAATAACCAGAAGTTAAGGAGATACAAGGCCTCATCTCAGATACTTTTCGTATGTTTCTTTTCTGTGTTGTAAATGTAAGGCCATTTGAGGTAGCTCAGCTCTCTCCTGATGTGCAAACTTGTTTTTTTTGTCCAAGACCTGAATTTTTCATCAAATATGCAGTCTTTGTTGTTATGTTGGTGAGGTGGCTGATGTCAGCAGATAGAGCAGTAGGGGATTTGTTTGCGTGACAAAGTTTCTCCTCCTATGGAAAACATTCCAGCTCTTTCCACTGGCATTATCCTTCCCTCTACAAGCATTTTAAAGGCACACTTCAAACTGTGCCAGTTGTGAAATGGGGAGAGTAAAAAAACACCCCTGCAATTCAGGGAACATTGCTGTTACATAAAGTGTTTGGCAGCTGCAAGGACAGCCAGAGGTGTTCTGTAGCCCATGATCTGCGGCCATCACACGCTTCTGTACATGCTTTGCAAAGCATAGAAGCTCAAATTGTTCTTGGTTAAGCAGTCCTGTTACATCAAGAGTGTGCTCTCCTATAATATGAAAACACAAAAGGCTCTAACTAGCATTTCAGCTCACTCATGGCCACCAAAAGCCAAGTCTCAGGTCACTCAACAGTCCGAGAGAGGAGGCACACCAGGGAGAGATGCTAGCTATAAGGGCTGTAGAAGACTAGGCTAGGTGACAGCAGTAGAGAGAAAGAGAGGCTTTCAGGGTTAGAGTTTTCACCACAAAAAGGCAGTGGCTGACAGCCACAGTGCAAAAAGGTGACTTGGGCAAAAGCAGAAAGCAGAAAAGGCAAGAAAGTATGGAGGCTTGATCTTCCTGTGCCTTCTTCCCCTTTGAGGATGAGCTGCTACCCCTTCCTCTACCTGTGTGAGGAAAATAGCTCTGACATCCAAATAACAACCTTTAATGCAGAGAGAGCTGGGTGGGAATCCGTCTGTGAGAGGGTGAAGAACCTCATACATCTGAAGATATGGCAAGTCCTCTGAAATAACCCACTGGAGCATGTGTGACTAACTGGCAGGGAAGCACAGATTCTTCACTTCATGCTCTGGACGCATCTGGTTGCTCTGTGTTTTTCCATCAAACCACTATTGCAATACAGCCTGGCAACTGAGGCAGGCAGTTCAGTCTCAGACATGCTGCCCATGCTCACTCATACAGCGAAGCAATGGCCCTGTTCCTGCTGCAGTTTGTGAGCTCTATGTATCTTTGGTTGTCCTGGACATTAGCTCAGTGTAAAATAGAGAATAATAGATATTTATTTCCATAATTCCTAGTTACCAAGCTGAATCCCAGTTCTATGGCAGCGTCTTCAATAGTACCAGTTGAGTTGTCAGTTGTGGCTGTTTGGTAATACTGTCTTCTGAGCTCTGAAGAGTTAATAGGGGAAGTAGCTTTTAACTTACATTCCTAAACCGCTTCATCAGGTCCTTCTGATACTCCCTCCTCATCTTGGGAGGAGTTTATTTTTCTGGGGAGTTGTCATTTGCAGGGAGCATACATCACTCAGTCACCAAGCCAGGCACTGCTCTGCAAAGTCACTTGAAAGCTTCAACATACTCCACAGGAAGAGAGGACAGGCCTGCCTTCCCCCAGTAGTCAATGGCACGCACTCTATAAAAGCCGGAGACTGAGCTTCCTGCAAATGAAAAGGTTGGAAATGGTCACTGTGAAAGGCTGATACCTGTAGTGCTTGGAGGATGTGGAACTGGCACTGCTCCTATAAAATGTCGGTTTGTGGAATGGGATAGGGAAGTGGTGAAATCACTTCTCTGCCCTATGTAACTGTGTCTGTGCCCGTCTAACTAAAAATGATTATAAACTCCTCATGGCCAGGTATTGGCTCTTTTTTTTTTTGTTGCACCAGGGACCTCCTCTCTCCTCATTAGGATTTGTAAGTACAGCTACAGGACTGCTGTCCTACCAGTTCCTCTGGAAGAGGGCTCTGACGTTTTCTACAACCCACAACTAGTAATTTCCCTTTTTGTGACTTATTTTTCTGCCTGAATTGTGCCTTTGGAACAGGTTATGTGGGGACAGGATCAACAAAGAAGCAGAACAAGAAGCATGCAGGTTGACTGAAACCTCTCTGCTCAACTTGGGAAGCAGCACCACTTGCTCCAAAGGTATGTGAGCTGATGTTCTGTGGCTCTGCTCATTTTCATCCTTGATTGAGTTCAAAGAATACAGCCTTCACTAGCAGTGTCTTTAACCTCAGAAGCAATACAAATGTTTTTTCTCATCTATTTTCATGATTTTTAATGTGTGCTTTAGTAGTTAATCTTTTTTTCTAAAATAAAAAGAACGCTAGAAATAATGAGTGAGAAGGAAGTATCTAGCAATAAAGGCTGCTGAGATGTGAGATTTTTTCAAGTAGTCTTCTCTTTTTTGTTTTTCAAACAAACAGTTAAATCTGGTAGATTCTCCAGATGTGCAGTACTATATAATATTGAATCCTAATTTCAAAAATTTGCTTTAGCCATGATTTACAGTCTTTGCTTATCTGTGTAGCCTTTACATTGCAATAATAGCTCTGAACTTTAATATGCATCCACTGCTGATGCTAAGCCTTTTTCAGGCTATGATGAGCTTCTGTTTCTGGCAAAAACATCTCTGAATTGCTCTTTATTTGGATCCCTTTGAGGCAAGGTCTGTGTTTCACACAGATCTGATCAGTGCTTATTAGTAATACTTGTTGGATAGCTACATCGTGGATTAGACCACATTTGGTTAAAAAAGCCCAAAAAACAATAACAGAAAAATACCCAAATAAAAAATCACTACCTTCTTGCAGAATTTTTTATCAAGGCTGTACTTGAGGAGAAATGACCACAGGCTCTGGGAGAAGCTTTGCCTGTTGACAAAGATGAAACCTGCTGCCCTCTAAGGTGAAACATCTAAAACTTAAGCAGCTAGTCAAGGCTAAAGAGAAAGCTCTAGGAAACAGCAAAGAGAGGGCTCTCTCCTTGGCTGGGCGTTCAGATAGCCAGGAAAAACTGTCCTACAGGAGGACCTCTTCTGTTCTTACCAAGGGAGCACCCCAATAGCCGAAGATTGCCAAAACATAAAAGGGTATGGCAACAGGGACAGGTGACCACAATGAGAGGAGAATTGCCACCTTCCCCCGGAGTAGCTCAGAACACAATAAATGCAAGACAACCAATCCCTCCATGAAAGGTGAACATGACTTCCCACTTATCTGTGTGCTGATGTCATATCCTTAGGCAGTCTAACACCTCAAGATTCAGTGGTACGAAACAAGTGTTAACCAAGGCAGTTTGCTCCTACTACCCTACCGCAAGATCATTGTACAAATCTAGGCAAAGGCATGGACAATACCTGTGGGACTAAGCCCAAACCTCATACTTGCCTTGCTGTGAGTCTAATACCAAAAGCACAACATGAAGCTGTGGTTACATGGAGCAATTTTGTTTGTTCCCATTTTTGCGTGGTTCTATATCAGCTACAAATAGAGACAAAAGTGCTGCTTTGCCTCTCAGGTATCTTGCCAGGCCCACAGCTGGGTGACTGGTTTCTGTGACAAGGATTTTACTCATGGCAATACTACTAATAATGTCCTCATGATGACATGTCAATTAGTGCTTGTCCTTGAGAATAAGATTTCACTGAGAACATGGTCCTAAAGGAAATGACATACTCCTAGTTGTGATGGGAGTGTATGTCACTAGCAAGCTACGTACCTTCAGTAGTTACTAAATGATATTTCACACACTTGTGAGTGGCATTATTAACATGACAGACTACATAATATGTAATCTTGCCTTACCTGGACTGTAGACCCAGAGAGTGAATATTGTGTCTTTGGCATTAATCCGCTGGTATGCTTTTCCATCTGGTGAAAACTCCACTTCAAATGTCTTTATACATCTAGAAAAGAAAACCAGATAGCTCAGTAAATACAACTGATAATGCGGTGAGCAATCAAATCCTAATCTCAGGACCATTTCAACAATGAAGGCCTAAAATATGAAGTATTCAGTTGACTCATTCCTACCAAGTGTGGGATGGCGTGAATTGCCTGTATTAAGAACCACAGCTCAAATATCCCGCAGAAGAACACACAGACTGACTTGCTATACTGGGTACTTACAGCACCACAAACTGTTAAGCATCTCTTACTCCCAAACAAGGGCTAACAAGGCTGAAGAGTCTAGGGAGACTAGCTTGAAAAGGAGCTAAGGCAGTGCTTCCTGAGGAGTCTGGATGTACACTGGATAGCCTCCAACAGTTCACCTACAGACGGTTTATAGTCTAGTTCAGCTTGATGGAGTAAGGAACTGGAGGTCTTCTCTTCCAGATTCACATCCCTTATAGGGATGCATAAGATCCCACCTAGGCACCTGCTGCTAATATAACTTCTATCATGGATCTTTCTGTCTGCTATGCTGAAGGCAAGTCCCTCAAAAATGCCATTGGATGCTGGTGAGCAATAGGCAGATTCCTTTGCTCAGACCACAAATTAGTCAGGGTTGCTGTCCACTGTTACTGCATGTAGGTCCTACAGTTTATTTGTCAAACAAATGAACTGTAGCATGCCTCAATGAGCAAGTAGTCATTATTTAGTGAACTCATTTTACTTTGTAGGACTGATGGCAACCTAGGGAGTAACAGGCTGGTAACTTGGTGATATCCATTATATTTTAAAAGCTACTTACTTTGAATTTACACAGCCATCGTCCCACAACACAATGACCTGCCCCTTTGTGAGAGGGATCAAACGAACACCGGTCACCTGTTCAAAGACACATGCCCATGTGAAAAAGCTGTACAAAGCAATGAGCCAGGTCAGATTTCTGTGTTCATCCTTCCTTACTAATTATTCGCTTTGATTCTATCCCTCGAGACAGGGGGAAAAAACAAAATTCCTGGTTCTGTGGCTTTGTAGCCTGTGTCTCCAACCTGTCAACCTTGCAGGCCACCTTCAGAGGCTCCTGGCACCACTATGAACATGGGTGGGATTGAATGGGCAGAAACAGATGTCTAATCTATGACAGGCATGATGCCATTTTATTTTTAGTGATCGACTATTAACTGGAGAGCTGCTATCAAGCCTGGTAGCACACAATGGGATTTTTAAAAAGAAACTGTACTTCCCACTACTGCATTATTATTTTCCCACCATGGAAAAACTTGCATTTATCTCAGTGATAGCTTCTATCATTTGCTGTGGAGTGCTTTATCTTGAATTATGCCTTAAAGAGTCTTCTCATCAAAGGAGAGAATTGCTTGTTTACTAAGTCTTACATGGTACTTTTAACAAATAATAAGCACAAATGCTAGTCCAGCTCTTCTTAGTGAGACTTAAAAACAGGAAGCAGTTTCTAATTTGGTGAGTCTGACAGCTGAACACAACACACACTTGATCTGGAACAGATCTGGGTCTTGCACAGATGTGGATAAGGAAGACTGAGGGAACAGGATAGTCTTGCTTCAGTGTCAGGATGCCACCTTCAGGAAATGGGAATGGTCCTGCTGCCACCGGGTCCTGTGGAGCCAAATAGAAATGTTGTGAATATTTCATTACAGTATCTGAAAGTCAACTGTTACATCAGTGTAAAGTGACTGTGTATTTCCTTTGGGACTGTAAATTTCCAATGGAGTTGGTGCTGATAAGTGCCTTATAGCTATCAAAGTTCTTCAAGCTGGGAGACTTTTCTATCTCACTCATTTTCCAGCTCTTCAGGAAACAGAGGGTTTGTCCATCTCACAAACTGCATTGGTCACAAATGTCCTTTAGGTGCAATCAGTCACTTTTAGTAAACTCCCATGGAAGCCTTCCAGGGTAGTGGTCTTTACAAACCACACCACTCCCTCTTAGCTATAGATTCCCAGTGTACAGTGAAAGCTACTGCTAGCTACTACAGACATTCAGCTGGAATCTGAGGATGAGCTTTCACCAGATGGTCAAGAGTATCTAAAAACTTGCTGCTGTCCTGTTGAAGGAAGATCTGATGGCTCCTATAGTATCCCTCTGGTCTAAGCAATAGTGGGTTATGGTGGCTGGGAGGAGAAGACATAGTACTGTACACCAAACTCAGACAGCAATTACTGTCTATAGTCCCCAAAGCAGATAAAGGTGGCCTTTTTTATTTTAACCCAGGGGTCTGAATGCATAGGGAAACTATGGGAGAGGGAACTGAAGTGACAGGCTGCTCACATATTCTCACATATAGCAAGTAATCTGGTCATGGCTTTTCTCAGTAGGGAGGAGAGGTGTCCTCAGAAAGGACTTAGTCCTCAGCCCCTCTGGGGTGCATTCAGAAAGGGTGAAGATGAGGGGAAACTTCAGGCCTCTCTGTGAGCCCCTGAGAGATGCCAAGTGTCTTCTGAGCTTACACTGGGTAATTTCCACTTCAGGGAGCTGCTTGTTTTCTGTTATTGAGTAGGGTTCATTTCAACTCTCTAACACAGTAATTTGGCCATTCTGTAATGTACACAGGGCCATGTGACTTATTTGGGGAGACAGAACAGAAAGGGTCTCAAAGCTCATAAAGCTTCAGAGAGAAGGTGGAACTTGTTCTGAAGCAACTCTGCTTCCTTAGTTAAGAGCAGGCCAGTAGCAAAGAAGTTGGTCATCAACATTTAGTGTCGTGTGTAGCAAATGCAAAGTATCAGTTGTGTACCAGCTGCATACCTGTTTGTGACTGCAAGCGCATTTTCATATGTATATGAGATGTGCATGACTGTGGGCTAAGAAAATTTTGACTACTTGAGCTGATTTCTTGTCTCTTTAGATGTAGTTATCCAATTCACAAGCATTTTACCCATATAACACTTCAAGCAAACACATGGCCATACCTCAGCATCCCTTATTTGCTGGAACTGTTCTGGGGAAGGAAAGTCAGGGCTTCCTAGCTTTTTCCACTTCAGGTAGGGATTGGTTTGGTTGTTATCCAGGTAATATGTCATATACACCAGCTCTTTAGGAACACAAATTAAAGACAGTAAACTCTTTACTTTGATTTAAAGATTAGCAAGAATAAATTTAGCATGTTTAAATATACCTTCTCAAAAATTATTTCAGCACTTTGGAGCCTGGCTTCCAGTGGAAAGTCACAAGGCTAGCACTCTTACAAGGCTCTACAATTTATATTTGCCAAGTTTAAATTTCAAGCTATTACCTCCATAACCATAATTGAAATTCTCTTATGTTTGCACAGGTGCTGCACGTATTTGTTGGACAGCTGCATCAACTGTGTAATGATGTGATCATGTTGGCTGTCTTGGATTCATCTCAGTAAGGGAATTGTTGCTTGGCACTATCCAGCCAAGGACACTGAGATTCATAGCTTTACAAAAAGGTAGCACTTGCAGCTGCCATTAATGGCAGGGTCAAAGTACAGCCATTAGGAAAGAATCTTTCCTAGAGGAGCACCACCATATCTCAGAAAATCTGGGAGTTCTCCAAAGATGAGAGAGAAAGTTAGCATATGAAACTCAGTCTTTCAATGAAAGGCAACTAGGCAGAAGTGTTTCAGCAGATATTCTATCCTAAAGATCAATTACACAAGCTGCCTACATGATGTTTGTTTACCTCTAAGTTTGGGGAAGTGGGTGGCATTCACTGTAACAGTGCTGATGTTGGATGAAGTCCTGTTATCCTCACTTGAATACATCAGTAGAGTAGCTTGCCAACTGTCTGAAGGTTGCACCTCACTTGGGGTGTGCACAGATGCCAGGACACCAATTGTGCTGCTTTGAGTGCTTTCACCTTCACTGCTGTTCACTTCTGCAAAAATCTGCTTTTCTCCTTTAAAAAATGTGACAACTCTGTAAGCATCATTGCTAGTCAAGGGTCAAAACACGGGGATCTATAGGTTGGCTATGTTCTAGCTTATTTTACCCAGTATAGCATTCACTCAGGCTAATTTCACAACAGCTGAGCACGCACATAGTACAGCAATTCTTATGCTCAGCAGTTCAGCATCTAAGTATGTAAGTGATTTAGGATCTTCTTTTAGTATGCTGCATGGTTCTTTCAGCTGTGGGGATTTCTTAAAGATATTTGCAGCCTGATGTGATGGCATAAGAGGGAAGTACCAGTCAACAAAAAAGAGTGGTTGGCATACAGAGGGTATAAACAAAGCAATAAATTAAACCAAATGGTTAACAGATTGTCAGGAACATCTCCTGAGCTTTTAATTTCTCAGAGGAAATTACGTTTCACTTTCTTAACACAGCTAGTAAACAGAGGATAGGAGAAATCCTGCTTTTATCAGTGGTGAGATGGCTGGAATAATCTCTGTTAGGCAGAAAACTTCTAGGTAGTAGAGGTTATTGATGTGCTCTTTAATCAGCGGTTACTATACCTAGCAGTGCCAGCAGGCCCATGACAGTCAGCACTGGTTTCCGCACCATTTGGACATGAGGTGGCTTTGTGTTGTTCATCTGAAAACGTGCTGTCAGAGTCCGCTGTGTGAAGTAATGGGGGTAGTAGCTCAAGAAGGCATTGTCATTACTTAGCAGTGTGTAGTTGATGGTGTTGTTGGCTTTGGAAATCAGCAGGTTTTGATGCTGGATGATTACCTGCAAAGTCATAGATAAGATGGAACTTCACCCTGAAGAAAACCCAACAAACACATGATGTCTCTATTTTTTTAAAATCTTTACAGAATATTGAAAAGAGCTGTCACTCTTCCATTTAGAAAAAGTTTGAAGAAATAAACTGTTCCTCACAACTCTTGGAGAAGCTACTCTTTAGGTGATATATATTAATCACTGGAAAATGTGAAGTATCCACCCAGTTTTGCCAGTAAAAAGTCTCTGAAATAACTATTACTAGTACTCTGCATAAATTACAAATATATTTCATAGCTACTGCACTACAAATTATTCTCCTCTGTCTTGAGTATTAAAATATTAATCTGGATTTACCATCTGAATTACATCTAAATGTTCTCCAATTCTGGAGATACCGTGTGCCCATTACATGAGTGTCTGGGAGTTGCTCCTGATTCAAATGAGTCATTTTACCCACTTGGTGCTAACACGGAACTAGTTCCCCTGTTATTTCACTGGTGCTCTGCTGCTTTCCCGCAAAATGTCAGAGCTCCCAAGACCTCTGTTTACCAGGCTGTGCCTAAGTATCAGAATCAAACAGAACTTCACAAGGCTGACAACCAAACAGGTCTCATCATTGTGTCCCTGAAGGAACACAGGGCTCTAACTCCTATCCACCCAACTGTTGATTTTCCATTGGATGTGTCTTTTTTTTTTTCCCTTCATATCACTACCTCATTATAAACACTGTTGTTTGCTCTCACAAGATCTCTGCAATGTAGTCAGTGACTTTTTCCTTTGGACAAGACTGCTTCTGTATGGAGCCTAAAGGAGCTAGGAGCCTTTGTCTCCATAGGGGCAGCTGATATGACATATCTTGTTTCTGGCTAACATCCACACTCCCAGGTTTGGAAATTACTACTTTGCACCAGAGCACTTGGACTCTGGATGCTGTGTAAGGTAGTGACTCACAAACAGGTCTGACGTGGGAATTATTGCTATGCAGGGGCAAGAGCTGAGCTTGATCTGGGGTCGGCCTCCAATTCCTGAAGCGGCAGGAATGCTGAGCATTCTTTTCTGTTTTTCTGACCAACAGCAGTAATTACTAGCAGTAATTAATAAGATCACATCTACAGCCATTATCCAAAACCAAAGAATGGGCTTATGCTGACAGCTCAAGGGAGTTCTTAATTATACCTGATGTCTCTTGACAAGATAAATGTATGAAGGAGCTTGGAAATAATGTCTCATGTAAGTGAGGTGATAGCTAGCAGTAGTATTACATGGAGAGAGGATGTGTGGATATCAATCTTATCAGGTGGGTCTAACTGCGTGACTGTATACAATATCTGACACATTCTCCAACACATGGAAGGCTAGTTCTCAGTTGTTTTTTTCTTAAAGGGAAGATGAAGAAAACTAACAGAAGCAAAATAAAGCTACTGAAAACAGACTATTCAGGGAAACCCCAGCTGTACCAATGAGGAGATGTCCTTTTGTTGGACCTATTGTTCTGAGTAGCTAATTAAAAACTGACTGCAAGTCTACTTTTGCAACTGTAGTAATGCATCAGGAGACCGTACTGTGGAAAAGACCGTCAATTAATGGAATTACCTTTACAACCATAGCTGCATAGGTCACATCAGCTCGCCATAGTTGTGGAATGGACCATCCAACCATTGGATCTGCTTCATCATTGTATATGGCAACAGAAGAAAAATTTGGAAACAGCTTCTGAATTTGTTCAACTGCTTCTACTTCTTGTTGCAAGATGTAGAGAGAACTCCCACCTCCCTGCAACAATATTTCATATCTTCTTAGTGAAAGTGAGCAAACAGTAGTAAACACACAGACATAACATACACACATAAACATATTCTGAAAACTTGTTCCTGGAGACCCTGAGGAGCTGTGGGCTAAACTGTATCAGTATTTCTACCTAAGCCATTTACAGCATGTCCTGTATGCATGAGCTCCCCCTAGAATATAAAATAGAAAAGAGGTAGAGGAGTTGTTTCCCCCTGTGAATTAGGCAAAGGCAAATTTACTTTGAGTTGAAGTCTTGCAACTGAACATCTTCAAAGTTTCATTAGAATAGGAAGCCATAGTTCCTGCTATATGCTGGACACACACCTGGAAATCAAATTAATAAATCAGAATAAAATATAACTTGGATTGAACAAATTAAAAAAATAGCCTTGAACTGAAATCTTGCACTGACCTTCTTATGGAGAGAGATGTAGTCCAGCCTTACACCAGTCTCCCCTGTGAAGAAGTTGGTTCCATTGTAGCAATGATAGAGAAGACTCCAGCATATGAGTGACTTGGGTAAGGGGTGGAAGGAATCCCCAGGCCCTCCAAATTTTAGTACAGGACTAGCTGCTCTTAATCCTTCTGAACAAGCATCATAATAGTTGAGAAACCCTGAAGTACAAACAGATGCATATATCAAAGATGATAACTCAGAATCTTGATCTAAAACTACAGGGAGATGCTATAACTCTATTATTGCATTTACTGGCAGGACCTCACAAACTGGGACTACTCTTTCCTATGCACTGACAACATGAGAAGACATCAAACCTCAGTTGCATTCACAAGGTTCTTCCAAAGGTCTTGTGAAGACATATTTCCAAGGCATGCATCTGTCCATTAAGTTCTCCTCTTACTTCACCCTTCACTCCCTTACTCCCGGTAACCTTACTTTATATCCAATTTCCAATTAATGAACTGCATCTTCTCAGTGTAACTCCTGTTTTGTTTTTCCTATTCTACTAACCCTGTATTTATACTGATGTCCAGGCAGGGAACAAAGTGTTGTCATGATCTTAGTAAAACAGACTACATATACCTTTCACATGCCGTATCTCTCCTATCTACTTTATTTCTTTGCCAGCATCTCTCCTTTCTCACTGTCACCCCTCCACCCACCCCACACACCTGTCTCACTTCACTACAGTAGTAAGTGCTCCAAAACATGCTTACCTTTCACTGTCACAGACACATTGTCAAAGTCATGGTGGTCTGGTTCGTTCCATGTTTCAAAATTCCACTTAGCAACATGGTCCAATCCATACCTATCTGTAGCAGAGGCCTCATTTATCAGTGAGCTGCATATTCAGACAATCCTATCAATTAATCACTGATCCAGACAATCCTATCAATTAGGGCTGCAAGTGAGGTTCAGCACCCAGAGCTAAAACAGGGTATAAATATTACCTATTTTTAATAATGAGGAAAATGTGATTTTGGTAGTTTCAAAATTATCTCTCAATTTTGATGAAATGCAGCAATATTTGAAAAAGATGAAGGATGAGAGGGAGGTGATGTGCATTACAGCCTTGTGGTTAGGGCACTCACCTAGCCTTAATTCAGGTTGAGGCTTCTGTCTTATTAGAGATATTTGAAGCTGGCATGTGTGAAGTGTTCAGGTTATCATGTCCTAGTGCAAGCTGGTGGTTTACAACCACGACAATATAACAAAGTTAGAAGTCAGTCCTTGGAGGCAAGCCAAATGTGCTACACAGAAGACACTACTCATTCAGGATGCTGGTCACGGATCAGTAAAAAAAAAAGGGCCATTACCCCACTGTCTGTTCTGGCATGGTTTTTCTCCTGTCCTGTGCTGAAATCCAAGGTCTTGAAATTGATCACAATACACAGAACTTTTTGAGATAGCTAGAAGGGATTACAACAGAATAACCGGGCTTTATTCTTCAGTTGGGTTTTTTTTTGGTTTTTTTTTTTTTTGGAACTTACCTATGTATCTGCTGGCCAGAAGTGTAATTAAGTTTCTCCATCTTACTACCTGTTCTTTATCTTCAAAATCTAAAAAGTATCCTGATGGATTCCCCATCAATTCAAATCCTAAAAAAGACACAAAAGATTGGTCTCCCTTTTTTGTGAATGCTATCTCCTTTTGATTTATGAAGGGGTTATTGCATTATCTGAAGCATCAATAAATGGGCTTTCTTTCCTGTTTCTACATTTCTCCACCAGGAATATTTCAGATTTGAGATTGCTCACACCTGTTATTTGTCAATGACTATAGTAATCAATACTAATACTTACCCTCAACACCAGAGCTCAGAGGGAACTGTAAGCAGTGGATGTTTGCAGAAATACAAGGGAAGCTATACTTTGAGTATCTGCTTATTTGGCCCTTTTAGGTACATGTTAATGGGTACAAAGCTTTCCCCTCTTCAAGAGATCTCATTTTCCAATTCATACATCCCAAACTGTTGTTGAAAGCAATGTAAAACCATTTGCATTAATTGCTGTAATAGAGTTTTGCTCACACTGTTTACATTTCGATGGACATGAGGCAAAGGCAAATAGGAAAAGAAAGAATTTCTCTCAAAATCTGCTTTAGCAAAGCTCTCATAATTTTCTGATGATTGTACAATATGAACAAACAGATGTAGCAAGTCGTGGAGGTAGGGAGCTGCCCTTACCTGGAATTAGCTTGTTTTCCCACAAGCGATCCATAAGGCTATCCAAGGCAGTAAAATTGTAGTGAAGTTTCCCATTCACCACTCTGAAGAACACAGGTAATATAAAGTACAAACGTAAATATTATAGCAAAGGTGGCACTTGGTTGCAGATAGTGGGTCAGATGGCTGCCTTCTTTTGTCTCTCAAAATTTACATGTAACTAGGGTTCTTGGAACTGTACACATCCTTCCTCTAAAGTAGCAAGTGTTCACCATAAGCAAGTCATGTCCTTTGTCCAAATCCATGCCCTTCTCCTATCCCAACAGCAGCAACAGAAGCAATATAATGAACCTGCTTGCTGGATTTTGAGTTTTTAACAGGATATTAAGGTTTCCAACTCTTTGCTGAAGTGAAATTTACCTAGACTCTTCTGTCAAAGCTGGTTTTTCAGTTTCCATTTGATCATCTACTGCTAGACCATTTGGTTTCCACCTTGTCTCATATGCAGTCTTTCTTAATGTTCTCATAATTTGCAATATATAATATAGCTTTCTTAGTGCTTCTTACAGGTTTAGGTCCAGCTGAGAAATGACTTTGTATCTTTCAAAGAATGCTGAATTTACGCACACAATACCTGTAATTTTTACTTCATTCTTAGCATTTGCTTACTGTTTCTCATGTACTGCCAGGATCTCAGGCTGCAATCTTTTTACCCAGCTCTGAATACATGTGTTCAAAGGGTTAGGAGTAGCCCCATGATGCAACCTTTTGTGTCAGTGAATCTTGCAGGAGTACAGGTAGTAAAATTTGGGTGCACATCTGCATGGGAACACTGGAGTTCTTTTACCCAGGGGATGAAAACTGGCATTTGAAATTTATCTATGATACATTTAAAGATATGCTTTAAATTCCTGAAAGGCTTTTCTTGCCTGGTATCCAGTGAAAACAAACCATGTAATATGTGAGTCAGTGTGTGATTTCCCATAACTTCTGAACTTGTGGCCCAAAATCTGACAGGGCAGGAGAAGTTTTTCCAGTATAAGTGCCAAATAGGAATTAAAAACGAACTCCTGTTGACCATATTCTAGTAGTGTGACTTAACCGCCATTTGGCCCAAGCCACAGCCTTGGCCTGGTGCCCAAATTCTGACCTCAATATGCCCTGAGCAAAAGGCTTTGTAAGCAACCTTGAGATAAGTCCAGCCCTGGCCATATAAGAGGGCTAGTCAAGGTCTTGCCAGCACCTCTGAAAGCTCAATTCTCCAGCCTTGACAGAGCACTAAGCCTAATTTGTCTGGTACAGTGCAGCCTGAGCTCTGTCTCTGCTATCTTGCCTGCTCCTTCCTAGGGACCTTCCCTCTGCTTGGGTGGAAAGCCGTACAAATTAACTGTGGATGTAATGTCCTAGGTATGATGGAAGGGGGAGAGACAATCCCTTCCTGTAACTGATCAGTGCTAGCAAGGCACGATGGGCACACAGGATAAAAAGTGAGAACGGGGCACTCAGCAGATCAATGCTGGGCTCTGTGCTCAGATTCTGCACAATGCTGGGCTCTGTGCTGAGGAACTTGTTTCCTTCTGTGCCTTCCCATGTGTTTCTGAGGCTCTTAGTTGGAGGCTCTTCCTCTGTGCTTTCTCGCCAAGGGAACAGTTCAGTGAAGAACACCTAATAGCAATCCTGAAGTTCTCGGAAAATTAAGAAGGGCTGAAAGAATTGCCTAGTGAATAAAGAAGGGAACTTGAAACCTGAAGAGGACAAAATGCCATCAGCATCTCTGACTATGATCTAGAAGAGGAAAACAGGACAGGCAAAACAGATGTAATGTAAGCCATATCCACTGTACCAGTTCCACCTGCGGTGCAACCAAGCACACAGTCTTAGCCCTAGTATGGTTACACTCTTTTACCAAAGACCTGAAGTTGGCTTTTTTCTTTTAAAGTATGTCCCACCACCACGACAGAAATTGTTATGCCTGCAGCTACTGATGGGCTTCCAGTTCGTGTCAGAGTCAAATGGTGCAGCTGTGAAAGAAGCAAATCCATAAGAACATTTTAGATGTTACTGTTGAATTAAAGAATGGCCATTTGGAACTAGGGTTCTTTTTGGGCTTAGACAGAGGTTAAAAAAAAAAAATCTGATGGTCCTATTTCAAAGTTCAAAGACAAATATTTTGTTGCAAAATGTAGCTGTGCTCCTTCAGATCCATTAACTATTTTCAGTTGTACCCTGTGTTCTATTGAAATATTTGCTTACATGCACACTTACAGTCAGTGAGCGTAAGAATGATTAACTCTACTGTCTTGTAAAAACTTAATGATGCCATTTAGATAACAGCAAAGGAACTAGTGTTTTCCTGACTACAGTCTAAGGTCTACACAGTAACACGTGAAAACGTATGGGTTAATAAGGCCTTCTATCTGATGCATGTACACTTAAGATCCCAGCACATCTACATCTCTCCTCCTCTATCAGTTAAGTAAAACATCTGAAACTGAATATTACTGTCATGACTGAAGTGACAGTACATGAGATCTTGCGGTATATGTGTAGGTGTAGAGGCACTTCTTACATCCTTTGGCTGATCTGTCACTTTATGAGAATCTTTTCTTGCTTGCAAATGGATTAGGCAGTATGTTCCTATTAATAAAATGATTACTTGACTGATAAGATGGCCGCTTTCTCAGATATTGATCTTATCCCTACCCATACTACTTTTCTGATGTGAAACTGATGCTTTTTTTTATAACCTATACAGGATCACTAGAACTTGGGTTGCACAGTTGCATGACACATGGTGTCTAGAAGCCATGCTGACTTTCATGTGGGAGGCATAGCAGGAATCTCACAAGCTGATATTATTTACAAACATGCTGCATAAGAAAGATTAGCTCAAGTGTCAGGCTGTTACCAGGAGTGCTACAAATATAATTTTAGGACATTGAAACCAGATTAAAACTGTTACCAGGTAACAAGATAACCTCTGACCCAGAATAAATATAACTGACATTGCCAAAGTTGTTCAAAACAGCTTTGTAGATGTGACCTAGCACCTACTGGTGCAGCATCATGTACCTATCACTGGGCCCCTGGTAGTGAGCTCACAGACTTTTAAAGTTTTTCTACCTTTTTTTTTTGCTTGCTCCTCTTCTGATGTCTCTGCCCTAAGTCATGGTTTCTAGACACCACTGTCTTCATTTACGACCACGGAGAAGGCTATGTCCTTGTTATTTCATTTAAATGCTTGCCAGACTGGGATTATTCATTGTTTGGCACTGGGTATTTCTGATGTGGAGTAGTGATCACTGGTCTGTCGGTTCCTGGTTTTCAAATGTTCCTGAACTGAACTTCTGGTAGACTGACCAGATAGGGCCTTCCTCATCTTCAGTCATAACAAGCAACTACACTAAAGCATGGTTACTGGCATCCTGGCACCAATGCTCTCACAAGCCCTAGGCCTGAAGCTGTTACACTCCAGAGACTACTGCCTTCTGATGAGGTGCCTTCAGTCTCTGTCATGGTCTCAGTTCCTGACACATTTGTATGTGCTGCCTCCTTGGAGCAACAACTGTGCTGTGAACATGAAGAGCAGTGAAGAGTATGGAGGGGAGTGCGCTGGCTGACACAAAATCTTGTGTTTTCTTCCTTGGAAAGGCTTGCTTTGTGGACCATCCTTTGCTGAATCAAAGGTTATAGGCCCATGTTAATAGCTTTCCACTGCCTCCCTTTACTGGAGTATGGTTTTTCCAGTATGGAGGGAAATTCTTTTCAGGTGCATAGGCAGCTACTGGATAGCTTGCCAAAGTGTTGTAAAATAATCATGTTGTACCTCTTATTCATGCCATTCTCAGCCTACTCCCATTCACAAACTTAATCTCTTGGGAGGGCAGGGATAAGCTAGCTTTGGCTGTCAACACCCTGCATCACAGTCAGATATGCTCCAGTTAGCACAGTTGTGGATACTGCTCCTTAGCCTACAGCTACTGTTTCCCTTCTGTGCCCAGCATCTGCTGCTTTTCTTCTGCCCTAGGCTGATCCTGTCCAGGAATATAGCTGCACGCCCTGGAAAGCAAGTGCACACACAGACATTGGACCAAGTATCTTATCTACAGACAAAAGAGCAAGGAAAACACAGGCAGGGAGTGTTCTCATTCCAGGTAATCTTCAGTCAAGTATCAAATCTCTGATAACACGTCAAGCTAACTTTATCACACTTTATTGTAATGTACTGAACAAAATTTCCTGGGATAGGAAGCCTTGTGGCTAACCTCTGTCAGTAGGTCACATCCCATTTAGAAATGCAAAGGTAACATGTAAGGTAACCATCAACAATGCTATTCTGTTGAAGAGTGACTTGTCTAGTTTAGGATTGATATGATTGGGAAATATCTATATACTGGAATAGTGCCTTTCTCATCCTGACATTCTCACTCAAGTGGTGTGGCATCCCTTTGCATTTCTGGTGGACACAGTTACCACACACATCAGAAGCTAAAATAATCTGGCTTGCTTTCATTAATGTCTGAGAACAGCCCCTCTTCTGGTAGACTGGGCATAGTGGTTAGCTAACACCGCTCCCAAGGCAGCAGAGCCTGCTTACATCCTCAATAGGAGCTTCTGCTGGGAAAGATTTCTTGCCTAGTGGTAAATGCAGCCAAGAAACAGGGACAAAAAAATGGCACAAGGAGTTGGCAGAGGAGAGATGCAAATGACACCTTAACAGTGAACAAAATTTTTCAGTAGGGTATTGGCTGAACTCAGACTTGAAAGGTGCACTCCATGAGGGAGCCACCTAAAAACGACCCTACTCCTTGGGAGGTTTGCTGTGTTATAGTCTTAGAGAGAGGTGAAAGTGTAATCTAAGATACTAACTTGCTATGCTGCCTGCTGAGGAAATGATCATATTACATACCACTATTCATTCAACAGAGATCATTAGCTCTGTGCCGGTATTTTTGTCCAGCCTTGTAAGCCAGTTCCTGCAAACATATACTCCCTTGGCCATGGAGCCAGGATGTGGACCAATGGCAACACAGTCACTGTTGTTTTCACGAGTGTAAATATGCATGATAATTAAATTCCCCCTCTCAAGAGTAGACAGTTGATG